ATGCGTTTGAACTGTCGTCTGCTCTTTCAAACGTGTCTGCTTTTTGTTGTCTGCTTGTTCAAACGACAGCGGCCCGTAAATAAAACGTTGACCCGGTAATTACGATAAGAAGTAAGTGCAGGCCTCAAAACACTTTTAAGTTTGAAGGTTGGTTGGGTTAAGTGAGCTCAGTGTAAACAGTAGATACAAGGAGATGTTGATCGTATACCAGTGGCCATCACCAACTTGTAATGTCCAATTCTACTTGCGATTTTCAGTATCGATGTCCTCCATCTCAGCTACGGTCCACGCTTTTGCAGCCCGAGCGACGTCGCGACTGAAAATAGCGAGCAGAATCTCATCGTGGGAATCAGGCTTTAGTGCCCATTCTGCGGCGTTTACGTTAAATGAATCGCCGCACGTCACATTATTCACGGAAAGTTTTGCAGTGTATCAAGCCTCGCTAATTTTGCTGAAGCCACTCAAGGAGTCGGACATTGTTAGGAGGACGTAAAATCAACAATTCTAGCGCGAAAAAGAGCACGGGGACTCACACCGACGACGACAACATCGCATTTCAATGGTTTGTTTATCGGCGACGGCGAGCTTCTTGCCCACCCTCCATCGCGCTTGCGCGGCGCCAGTGGCGTCCGCTAGGGGCGCTCCGGTTTGTTTTGCCTAAATCTAAGGCATAACTAAGGGAGGTAGTGAGCACTATGATAACAAAAGGAAATATTCCAGATGAATGAAGGCTTAGTATGAGTATGATATATAAGGGAAAGGGAGATAAGTCTGATATTAGGAATTATCGTCCCATAACCGTGACACCAGTTATTTACAGGTTGGTAAGGCAGATTATAAAGAACAGACTGGGAGGAATGGGTAGATTGCGAGGGTATACTGGGCGAGTTACAGAACGGGTTTCGGAAACGAGGAAGGTTGGAGGACAATATATTTTTTCTAACACAGTGTTTAGAAATAGCGCAAAAAGAAAACAGACGTCTCTCTATGGCATTTCTGGATATCAAGGGTGCCTATGACAGTATGAACCAAAGGAACCTGTGGGACATAGTGGAGAGCTTAAACCTAGATGAAGGACTAACAGCAATATTAAGGAACATTTACAAAGATAAGGTGATTATAACATGGGAAGGAAAGACAGCGAGGAAAATAGAGATAGGACGAGGCCTTAGGCAGGGGGTGCCCGTTATCGCCTTTGCTGTTTATGTTGTATCTGAGAGGATTGGAGGATAGACTAGAAAAGAATGGGCTTGGATTCGACCTTTCGTACAGTAAGCAAGGACAACAAATTCAGCAATCCTTACCGGGTTTGATGTATGCGGATGATATCGTACTAATGGCTAACAACAGGACAGAGTTGCAGGAATTAATGACCCTCGGCGTAGGGAAGGTGAGGAATTAGGGTTAGAATTCAGTAGTGAAAAATCAGCAGTCATGATTTTTAACGATGATGAAATTAAGAGGCTGAAGATACAAAATATTACTGTTGAGAGAGCTAGTAAAACAAGTATCTAGGGGTATGAATATGTGACTGTGCAGAATATCTCAGTGAGCATGAAAAGTATATAATAGGTAAGGGCAACAGAAATGCAGCTGTAATGAAAAATAGAGCACTTTGGAATTAGAACAGGTATGAGGTGGTGAGAGAGATTTGGAAAGGCGGTCATGGTACCTGGCTTGACTTTTGGAAACGCAGTGCTATGCATGAAATCCGAAGTGCATGCAAGACTAGAAATAACACAGCGCCGAGTAAGTAGGCTGGCTTTGGGGGCACATTGCAAAACGCCAAACCAGGGAGTACAATGAGACATGGGGTGGGCGTCATTTGAGATCAGGGAAGCTGCGAGAAAGATAGAATTTCAGGATCGGTTGAGGCAAAGGGATGGGGAGCAATGGGCACGAAAGGTTTTGAGCTATTTATACATGAGGAGTATAGACACAAAGTTGAGACAGCGTTTTTAGGCTATAGTGGAGTTACGGAAGAGCTGGTCTCAGTTAAGAAGAAAGTTAAGGTCACAGAAAGAGATCGATGGCTAGAGGGAATTCAGACAAAGAGGGCTCTGGAAAGCTATAGATTAAACAAAACAGTTGTTGCCAAAGAAAGCATTTATGACAATTCTAGGGGAAGCTCATTGTTGTTTGAAGCGAGGACGGGTGTTCTGCGAACCAGAACATACAGAGCGAAGTATCAGGAAATGGATACAGTGTGCACTGCTTGTGGAGAGGAGGGCAAGACGGCTGAGCACTTGATACTCTATTGTAAAGGGCTTCACCCTATGCCTACCGAAGACAACATAGATTTAATAAAGTGGTTGGGTTTTAAAGACAGTGAAGGAAGAGTGGATTTCAAGACAGTAGAGATTACCAAGCAAAGGTTAAGTGAATGGTGGCAGAAAGCGAGAGAAAACTAGGTATTTTCTTATTTACTGATATGGCAATGGGGTTTTATAGCTTCACTTTCTTTTCAGTGCGGAGTGAACATAGTTTTCACATTTAAATATTCTAAGCTTAAATGGTAAAACAAAACGGCTAAATGGCGTAAGCTACTGCCCAATCCAAAGGGCTCAGCCGGATTCATATATACACACCTGAAGTATGAACCAACTGGCTCAAATTAAGCCTGTTACCGTTGCTTGGCTTTCGCTCAGCCAGATCGCTTATATGGGGTGCACTCAAATGAAAACACAATCGTGTTGAATCGTGTAAGAGTATTTAGAATATTTATCGATCACGCCGCTGAATTTGCATCGCTCGAAGAACTACATTTTTGTGAGCGCCTTCTCTGCTTGAGCTTGCTGGAAACACAGCCACTTCGATCCATGGCAATCGATGATAGCGTTGGTGACATCAACAAGTACGCGACTCACAGAGCACTGGTGAACAGCAATATTTTCGTCGCTCCCGACGGTTCTGTGGAAGCCGCCAGCGGCGTAGAAGAGTAGAGCTGCGAGGACTTGTTCGGCCGTCAGTACACGAGTCCCTTCGCGACGCCGCTGGAGCTTTCTGCGAAGCTGGTCGCACAGCCAGCGAGTCACCCCTTTGGTCAGCCGGTATTCGCCCACAAACCTCTCATCGCTCGTCTCGAAAGCATCCCGGTGATTTATAAAAGCTTGATCCGCTGGCAAACCCAACAGTAGAGATGCATATGTTAGGGTCGTCATCTTTTACGATGCAGAACGATCTCCGGCTTCGTCTCGACCTCTCAGTTAAGTGCATCGTCAAAGTGCATCATGACGACATTTTAACGTCACTGCCAACTACATAATTTTACGAGCATAGCTCGAACTGCATAGGAAAAAACTACATTTCAACGTCATGTCACGTGACCCGAGAGAATAGCCAATGAGTGCCCGATGCAGTTTTCTACATCATTTAGTTTTTGTTCTTGCATAGATAGATTCAACCAAACAATTTAGTGCCCATAGTAAGTGGCGCACGTTCTTTCCACGAGCCAGCGGCCGCCGGTGTGCGCGAGCACTCGCAACGAAGTTGATGTCATAGTCCCCCATTCGGGCTTAATTAAGATGACAGTGAAATGTATGTGCTTCGGGCCAAAGGAGAATAAAGACGGGCTTTTCTTCCCCAAAAGCGTAAGCTACCTGCTTGTTAGACCGATTAATCGCTTACCTTTTACTACAGACCCCACTGTGGAGATGAAAAGCTTGTCTTTATTCTTGTTTTCCCTGGAGTTCACGCATTTCACTGCCATCTTAAGTAAATAGGGGACTATGACGTCAATTTCGTTGCATGCGCTCGCGCACACCGGCGGATGCTGGCTCTTGGAATGATCGTGGGCCACTTAATATAGACACTGAAATGTTTGGTTCAACATCCCTTTAAGCTGAAGCGAAGTTTACAAGTGTATCCAAAAAACATACCAAAAAGGAAAAAAAAAAAAAAAAAAAGATCAGCGGTCTTAGAGGGACAGTTGAACGTTGGCAGCCGCTCTAAGTTCCACCGTTCTCAGGTTCTTCACCAAGCTTGGACCACCTCCATATTTTGTTTCAACTTTTCAGCTTTTGGACGCAAAATAAAAGCAATGGAGGATTACTGTTCACAAGTGACACAAATATAATTGTCGAATTAACACCCCCAAATAAAAAAGGAAATGCTTCAGGCATAAAAAAAAAAAAGGGGCGAGGGAGGAGGGGGGGGGGGGGGGGGGGACATGCCGTGTTGTAAAGGTTCCTCGGTCCCGCATCTACGGCATACACCATAAATTGTGTCCCCGGAAACTACTTGACGGAGATGAAAAGCCTGTCCTTATTCTTTTTTCGTCCAGAGCCCATACATTTCCCTGTCATCTTAAAGGTCCGCTAAAGAGGTTTCTGAGATCGTATGTCCTTGGTGATAACTCATTCTACGGGATCTCCCAGAAATCGAAAAATCATGCTCGTGCGTCGTCTATTCCCCTACTAAAAATGTGATCGAACTTCGTGCCACGCCCCTTTCTGAGCGGAAAAATCTGGAGCACAGAATTCAGCGGGGGCCCGGTGCCGTGACGACGGGCACGCGTCAGCCAATCGCAAGCCGCCCTTCCGAGAAAGGTGGCTTGCGACTGGTTGACGCGCGCCCGTTGTCACGGCGCCGGCGCCTCCGCTGAATTCTGTGCTCCACATTTTTCCGCTCAGAAAGGGAAGTGGCAAGAACTTCGATCGCACTTTGTAGATTTTTAGTAGGCAAATAGACGTCGCACAAGCATAACGTTCGAATTTCTAGAATGCTTGGGGCCCTTAAGATAAGTTCACCAAGAACAGACGATCTCAGAAACGTCTTTAGTGCAACTTTAAGCGGGAATGAAGGACAGTGCCGTCAATTTCGTTGTGTGGGCTCACGCACACCGGCGGTGCTGTCTCATGAAAAGATCGTGTGCTCCTTATTATGGACGAAAAGATGTCTGGCTTAGTATTTCTTCAAAAGGTATGTTGAAGCAATTCGACAAAAGGGGCATGTGCATTTCAATGACGTTTATCTTAAGATATGGGTTCTTGCATTCAAAATGGGGTTACATGTTTTTATTTTTACCGGATCCTTGTCCCACTTAATTAAACTTGTTTAAGGTATGCGCAATTCCACTTTTTTAAATTAAATAGTAGAAGTTGAGAATGCGTGCGCTCTCAGCGCAGACCGCTTCACATTCCCACTATGAGTCTTGGGTAAGCGGTGAACAAAGTACACGCCCCCGTGGAGATGCTTGTATTTGGCACACGAATCTGCGGAATGAATAGGAAAAAAAAGTTCATTAGTCCTCGCAATTACTTTGCATTTACCGGACCTGTCACAGATGCTTAACTCATATAAAATGTGAATATTTTACTCAGCTCTTCCTCACTCAAAAAGTTTGCATGTACGCCATACATTTCACAAGCATCCGCGCAAGCAAAGTGGATGGATATCACGCGCAGGCAACCCTGTCTAACAAAATGCTGCAAGTAATTTTTAAGTTGTAGCTTAGACATTGGTTAATATTTTGTGAACGTGCCTATTTGTTGCGTTTGTGAATTTTTGCCATGTTGTATAAGACCGTGCAGGGGTGCGCGTTATTACGCTTGCGCTAACTCCGCGTACGATACAAATTAAAAATAATACTTTAGCTCAGCGTACTCTAAACCTAACAAAAAAAACAAAAAAAAAAACAAAAAAAAACGAAGAACTTTTTGCATGAATTAGTTAGCTTTTGCGCTAAGCTTGCGTTTTCGAGAGAAGTAGAGAGCGCAGGACTTCAGTTAAAACAGTTAAACGCAGCAATAATTTAGATTGATACGAAATTAAAAAAAATTATTACGTTTTAGGTTTCTCTTAATCTGCGTCGCAAAAAACAATCGAAAACACTTTATTTTGAGTTTCTGAAAATAATGACTTCATACTAATAGGTACGTTGATTTGTCAGAAATATTTAGCTTAGCTAATGCTTACATTACTATTTTAGTTGGATATAGTTTTTCAGACTAATAAGAACTTTGCCTGTATGATACTTTTTTTTTATACTTTCGAATATACATCCGCTATTGTAATATTAAATACTTGCGAGACAAATTACAACATCTTATTACATAGGAGGAACACTATGTTATATAGTGTATATACTTTACTTTTGACTTTTGAGAGCGGTAATTGCAGTCGGAAAGGTAGCGGTAGACTGTTAGAGCCTGCTTCTTACCGGAGATGGTTCTTTCGATGTCTTCTTCGCAGATTTTTCCCGGCGGCTTGTGGGACTGCTTCAAGACAACGAAGGCGGTGGCCGCTTCTCCGTACTTGCGGTGCGGCAGCCCAGCGATCGCGACCTCGGCGATTCCGTCGTGGTGCTTGAGCAGTAGCTCCTCCAGCTCAGCGGGAAGAATCCGCTCACCCATGCAGCTGATCACTTCGTGCAAACGTTCGATGAAGTGAACCCTGCCGTCGGCGTCGTAACGCGCCATGTCACCTGCGCAAGACGGCAACCAACATTGCGCAACTATACACACTGCTTAAGAAACACAAGGCGTGACTTGGTAGAAGGTTAGCAGCTGCGCATTCAGGCGCACAACACCCGCGCATGCCCAGTGCGACGCCCCAAGCTTGCTGGGCGACCCGAAGAGCACGGAACCCTCCATCCCAAATTTTTTGTTTGTCCGTCTGACCGTTATTTTATTTTCCGCTAACAGTAGCGGGGAAATGACGTCACGTGACCTATCAACCTCGCGGAGATCGACGGCACGTGACCTATAGGTTCATTCAATGTTCACGCTAAATCTAGTTGGAAAATTCGAGTCTTGTGACCTAAACTTGCATTTGGTTTCCCCACTTCATTCAGTTGGGAACTTTACTTTACCGCGACACTATACCCGTTTTCAACTCAAGAACCGCAGTAAAAAATGAAAGCCATTTACAACTGTAACGCCGAATTAGAGCGCAGCTCTTGAGGAGGAGGAGAGAAGGATACTGGGGAGGTGGTTCAAGTGACCTCGGGGGGCAGGGTCACGTGACCTTGGGGGGTCACGTGACCTTGGGGGAGTCACGTAACCTTGGGGTGTAACGTGACGTCGGGGGGGTCACGTGACCTAGGGGTCACGCGACGATGTCGATGACGTCATCAGTGACGTCACTGATGACGTCATCAGTGACGATCACGGTGAGGATACCGATGACACCTTCAGTGACGTCACTGATGACGTCATCAGTGATGATGATGATGATGACGATGCGGATGCCGGTGACGTCATCAGTGATGATGACGATGCAGATGCCGGTGACGTCATCAGTGACGTCACTGATGACGTTATTAGTGACGATGACGTCAACGGGAGTCACGTGACCTCAGGAGGTATCCCCAGGTCACGTGACCCCGGCGGGGGTCACGTGACCCGGATAACCATCGTGACCCTCGTGAGGGTAGCCCTAGTAACCCTTGTGAGGGCAACTCTCGTGACCCTCGTGAGGGTAACTCTCGTGACCCTCGTGAGGGTAACTCTCATAACCCTCGTGACCCTCGTGAGGGTAACCCTCGTGACCATCATGAAGGTAACCTTTTTGAGAGTAACTAACCCTCGTAATCCTCGTGAGGGTAACTCTCGTGAGATTAACCCTCGTAACCCTCACGAGGGTTACGAGGGTTACTCGCGGTTACGCCGACGGCGACGGCGACGCCGCTCAAGCCGGGAACGGGCGCCTAAGAGCTGCGCTCTAAAAAGTTCGGTTTTAGGTTAGAGACATACGTTATCTTGTCGAGACGTGCACGTGACCAGCGCCAAAAGCGTCGCTTTTTCCTCCGACAACCAAATCTCGTAAGAGCTACTTCGCGCCGCGTATGAACGAGCAATGCGCAAAACTTTCTTTTTTAGAGCGCAGCTCTTAGGGGCCCGTTCCCGGCTTGAGCGGCGTCGGCGTCGGCGTAACCAAGGTCACCTTAAGGTCACGCGGCCCCCCAAGGTCATCTCAAGGTCACGTGGCCCCCAAGGTCACCCCAAGGTCACGTGACCCCCAGAAGTCACGTGACCCCCCTCGAGGTCACATGACCACCCCCCAGGGTCACGTGACCCCCCCCGCCGAGGTCACGTGACCTCCCCGATGATGTCATCGTCACTGATGACGTCACCGGCATCCGCATAGTCATCGTCATCATCACTGATGACGTCATCAGTGACGTCACTGATGACCTCACCGGCATCCGCATCGTCATCGTCACCATCACTGATGGCGTCATCAGTTACGTCACTGATGACGTCACCGGCATCCGCATCGTCATCATCACGGATTACGTCATCAGTGACGTCACTGATGACGTCACCGACATCCGCATCGTCATCGTCATCATCGCTGATGATGTCATCGGAGCCCGCATCATCGTCACTGATGACGTCATCAGTGACGTCACTGATGACCTTACCGGCATCTGCATCGTCATCGTCATCATCACGTCATCAGTGACGTCACTGATGACCTCACCGGCATCCGCATCGTCATCGTCATCATCACTGATGACGTTATCAGTGACGTCACTGATGACGTCACCGGCATCCGCATCGTCATTGTCATCATCACGGATGACGTCGTCAGTGACGTCACTGATGACATCATCGGCATCGTCACGTGACCCCCAAGGTCACATGACCTCCAAAGTCACGTGACCCCCCCCCCAGGTCACTTCACCCCCCAGTACCCTTTCCTCCTCCTCCTCAAGAGCTGCGCTCTAATTCGGTGTTACAGGGAGTTGTAAACGGCTTTCACTTTTTTTTTATGAAAACGTGTATAGGTCGCACTATTGCATCTCAATAAAGACATATTAACGAGACAGCGTTAAGGAGCTCGTGTCGCAAGAAAGCCGGCGTCGGTGGCGTGACGGGAAAATCCTGATTGGTCGATAGGGTCATGACCTCGCGCGGGAATTTCAAACAACCCACAACGCCCACGTGAAACGTGACGTCACGAGTGCAATAAAGTGACTACAACATGACATCTAATCCGAATTAAAGGTCGCCGCATGTCTGAAATTATTTCACTTCACAAATTAATTCATTTGCCTTAATGAAAAATTTAAATAACTTTAGGCGGGACTCGGACTTATGACCCTTCGGTTGCGAGCCAGACAACACGCTACTGACTATTCCACGCAAGGCACGCTTGCACGACGAATGAGGAGGAAATGCGAACGGGACCCGAAAACGCTGAGGCGTTCCACTCTTAAAGGCGAAGCTTGAGCGTCCTCCAAGATTTTTACCAGCACTATAGCCGCCGCCTAAGCGACGCCGGGCGTGTCGAGTTCCGAGCATCTCGTCATTGCTCGGCAGCCAATGAGAAGGCGGCGTTGGCCGATCAGAGTGCCGAAGCAAGAATTGCGATTAGAAGAAGCCACGCCCTACGTTTCTTAAGTTGTTACTCTGACTATCAGACATGTACACGTTACCCCAAAAAAGTAAGTAAATACCATTACTCGTTTCTCGCTCAAAATGTAACTAAATACGTTTCTCGTTACTGATTCTCGAAAGGAACGTGTTACTTTACCTCCAAAGTAGCGAGTTACTTTTCTGGTTCATTTGACAACCGACAACTGTTTTCTCTTCATGGTTTATTGTTGTCTTTTTAGTAGTCGTTGCATTTAAGCAGTAGCTGCCTCTCGAAGTTTTCATCAGTTTTGTTTTCCCCGCTTCATCGAGAAAACACCTCCCGCGACGCTGGAAGGTCGTTCTACTGACGCGGTCAATGGAACGGCAGTGCTGTGCTTCAGGAGGAGCTGCTGAATCCAGGATTCCCTTGGATCTTTTGTCATCACTGCTTCTAAAGTTCCGAGTTGACAATGGGTTCTGTGCCTTACAGGGTTGGCAACTTCCGGGGTTTACATTCGGTCTGTACACGATTCTAGAATGTACAACCAACGAACCTTATTGCGTTCTCTGAGTGAAAGACATTCCCAGCTGTAGAATTCGACTGACGTATTCAGCTGTAAACGCTTCTTTACTGTCACACTCTTTAGTTGTTTTTCGGGTTGTCCATCTGCCTTTGTCGGAAAAGGCGCGTACTACTCGGGTTAAAATCAAAACGAGGCTGTTTAAACGTTCTTGTACACGTTTTCCCTCAAAAGGAACAAAATGCCGTTACTCATTACTTGATCTTAAAAGTACTACTGAGTACTTTAATCGTTCCTTTGCTACAAAAGTAACCCAATACGTTACTCGTTACCGGAAAAAGGAACTAGGTAGAAGTGACTCCTTACTGGTAACGCGTTACGTACATGTCTGCTGGTTATACATCTTATTGTCGTTTCGTTTGGACTCGGAAATTTGTGTATGCCTTGTTTATACGAATAATGGACTTAATATATATTTTGGTTTGTTAGTTTACTCTTAAAAGTCAAACTCTCTTATTGACTGTTCAAAATGTACCTTAAAATAAGAAAATAAAAGTGATGTATAATGGAGGGTGGCCTTGATTTGATGTTCAAGAAGCCGAAGGCATCTACTAAGATATATATGGGTTGCTATTTGAACCCTAACCTAAAAGCCATGATCATGATGTTGAATACCCGAGACTGTAATAAAAGCTGGGAAACTTGGTCGAAGAAAAAGACAGGTAATATTCCGCACTATGGAATATTACCTTTGATTATTAGTAATTATTGTTGTATATGCAATAATTTTTTGACTAAAATTTAAATTTTTTGTAAAGATTTATTGTCCTAATATTTTCCCAGAGGCTTTTGTGAGGCTTTGAATACAGAAATAAATTTAGAGACCGATGGTCGTCGACCGAATTTAAAACTGCCGCGTTCTTTTATTTTTACGAAACCCGTGTGTGTCACGGAAAGCCAGGTTTAGAGTGAAGAAGTTTCTAAATCATCACCCTTAGGATGTCTGAAACTTTCAAAAGGCATCTCTAATACTACAATAAAAAAAAACAAGAAAAACAAAAACAAAAAGAGGTGCCTAAGCAAGGTCAGAAAGGGGGCCAACATTTCACGCGGGGTTCGCCCATATCCCGGCAAGGGCACTGTCGGTTTAGGACCCTCGCGCATGCGCGGTTACGCGCCACGGGTTCTTCAAGCTCCTGTCATGCTGCGCCATCTGACGGCACTTGCCAGATATGGGAGCGAACCTTGTTTGGTAAGGCGGTGCCGTTCCACCGTATTTGATATGACGCTATACCTTGAAACCTGAAAGATTCTTAATTTTATTTCAAAGACTGTAAATACCATATCAACAACAAATGAATAAGCGATGTCCTTCAATGAGGTGTTTGAACACATTCGATGTTGTTTGGATTGGACATACCTGATCGGCACCAGCCCTCGGCATCCATGACTTGTGCGGTCTTTTCAGGGTCCTTGTAATACCCTTTCATTACGCTCGGAATCCTGTAGCAGAGCTCTCCAGCTTCGTTAGGGCCCAGTTTTTCTCCGGTTGCCACGTCGATGATCTGGAATAAAAATGACGCAGCTTTCGGGCTTCACTCGTATCTCTACCTTTCCTCCGAACAGAACCGGAACAACTGGTCTGACTACCGTGATTGAAAATGTGTGGCAATTAACTAATTCAAAAGAACTGTAGTGCGCTAAAAAAAAAAAAAATCGTTTACTGAGAAGGTGAAGACGAATAATTGTCCCCACGGCGCGGCGGCACGTGGAAAACAGACGCGCAACTCTGGGTCCCGTAGGAAGCCTATAGGGAGTATTCAGTGGCGGCCATAGCTGTGTGCGCGACTGCTGAGCGCGTGCTGACGGCGAGCTTCCACAGTTCTTTTACAACGTGCACTCCGTACCAATAGGATTGCCGCTCATAGCAGCCTCTTAACGTGAGCTCGTGCTGAGCATACGCTTTAAACAGCTCCCTCAAATATGACGTCATCTGAGGAACTCCAGGAATGTAACAGAGACACCCTCCAGCTGCGGCGACAGGGAGAAACAACCCCAGTGATAACTTTATATATGGGCCGTAAGTGCGCGCGCCTCTTCACTCTAGTCTAGCTGTGGTGCGAGCGACACGAGGTATGATTTCTAAATATACAAGAGTATAACGATGGCTGCCTTTCCTTCGTCTCTGTAGGTGCCTGTTGGAGACACGCTAAATTTGTTTTTCAAACAATTTTTGTATGTAGGTACTCGGTCCTGTTGATTGAAAATAAGTTAGAAGTGTGTCCTCTCAGTGATCACCTTGAGCTCCACCATGGCGTTGGGGCAGCCCATACTGACAGTTCCAGCGTACGCGTCCTTTGCCAAGCACACGATACCACACGCCTCTGCTGGTGCGTATACGCTTGAGATACAGCGCAGTTCTTTGAAGACGGCCTTCAGAGTGGCAACGAGGGCTTCGGTGAGTACGCCACCGCCAACGTTGATCTTCCGGACCGAGTTGAGCTGAATGCCGGTGCGCCTCATTTCGTTGGCGACATACTGCAGCATGGCCGGGGAACTAGGAACCAGTGCAACCTGGGCAAACAAGAAAGGAACGGTTAGCTTAGGCCATGCTTGCACGTAACGCTTTGCAAGTAACGCGGTACGCGTACCTAGTTACTTTTTTCGGTAGCGAAAGAACTGTGTGGCTACTTTCTCAAGACAAGAAATTATTGACGTATTTTAGTTATTGCTTGAGGGAGTAACCAGCAACGGAATTTAGTCACTTCTGGACATGTGCAACACAAGTAGTCAACCTGGTTCTCAGCTGAGCTCGCGTCTGTAATTTTCACGTCAAGAAAATGCTAGAGAGACCATAAAAAGACGTGCACGATGCATGTCAGTGTAGCAACAGTGAGCCCCGAATAAACCCGTTAAAAAGGGAGGAATTATTAACGGCTACAAATATCGTAATTAGGTACACATAGCAGAGCGCGTTGTATAGAGTACAGATCACACGGAAAGAATAAAAACGCAGAAAATACACGAGGGACAGACACACGCAGTTCTTTCAACGAGCAACTACATTTAAATGATGCCCATTACACTATGATGATAGTGTATGATCATAGTGTAATGGCCATCATTTAAATGTAGTTGCTCGTTGAAAAAACTCTGTGCGTCTGTCCCTCGTGTGTTTTCTGTGTTTTTATTCTTTCCGTGTGATCTGAAATATCGTAAGCTTCATAAAAATAACACAATCGGAGTGACGACGAAATAATGAGTTACATTCAAGCTGAGGTCACGCATTCTTTTTGAAACGCAGTAACGAGCAACGTATGCTCACGTTTCGAGCTTATAACGAGTAAGGGTGTTTAGTTACTTAATTTCAGTAACGTGTATACATGCCATTGTGCTGCTACCTGTATCTGGAGTTTCATAAATTGCAGTGATTGATGCTCAGCACTCCCGAGACATAAGAGAATGTAATTAGCTTCGAAGGCTGCGATATCCTACGGTTCGAACCGCTAGCGCTGCATTTGGGTGGAGGCTGTGCGTTCGGCAATGCCTTGTTCGTTTTTGTAAGAAAACAACAACAACGAAGAAGAAACAGTTTTTTTTTTTTTTTTTTTTTTCTGGGAACACGCTGTAGATGAAGTCCCATTTTTAAAGCGGTAGCGTTAAGGAGCTCTTTTTTCATAAAAGCCGGCGTCGGTGCCGTGATGGGGAAATACCGATTGGTCGATAGGGTCATGACGACACAGCCACATGACCTCGCGCGGGAATTTCAAACGACGCTCGCGTGAAGTGTGAAGTCACGCGTGGAATGAAAGTGATTAAAACGTGACATGTAATGCGAATTAAAGGTCGCTTCATGTCTTAAATGATTTTTCTTTATAAAGTAATTCATTTGCCTTAAAGAAAAACTTGAAGAATTTTAGACGGGATTCGAACCCAGGACCCGTCTGCGATCCGGACACGCAAGTGACTAAGCCACGCGAGGCACGCTTGTACGGCGAATGAGAAGGCGGTGCGAACGGGGCCCGATAACGCTATCACGTTCCACTCTTAAAAGGCGAAGCTTAAAGGGACACTGACAAGGTATCTATGCTCACCGAGGTTTTTATGTGTACATGACATATGAGAGCCAAACTTCCCAAAACGCAATTTGTGGCTGGAAATTTTTTTTTTCCGCCCGAAAACCGCCGCTTGAGAACTGGCCCGTTTGAGTTGCGCTCATTCTCTTTTCCGTGATCACGTGCTGTTCTCTAACAACCACCAAAGATAATCAAAGTCGTGGGTCATCGAAGGCACACTCTCAATACTAGAAATGAACAAAAAATATGATACCCATTTTTTGTGTCTCCTAAAAAGCTGCAAATACGTTTCTTGAAAAAAAAAAGGGAATTAAAAAGAAGGTTGCACAGTTACCTGACATCTGATGCTCTGAACTCTTCTAACACAAGTTTAGAGCAGAAAGTTCACGGAGCGCGCCGATTGGTCTTGGGCGACAAAACCGCTGCGTCATCGTCGCTCGACTCCAATCGGCGCGCTCCGGCAACTTCGGACCGAACTTTGGGGTTGACCAGTTTAGGGCCCCTGGCATCTTTCTCACCCACTGTGCTTCTTCTTCCTCCCCAGTCCAGTTTCGGTTTTGGTTTTGAGCAGTCTCGTGTTTTTATTTTATTAAAAATATAAGTGACACTGAAGCAAAATATTGATTGGGTAGGGTAGTCTTCTGACAGCATAAAAAGTCGCCTAACAAAAAAAAAAAATGTTTTTGGTGTGATGGGGCAAAGGGGGGGGGGGGGGGGGGTGTCAGTGTTCCTTTAAAAACGCATGGTGGGGCCAGTCCTGCGCATTTACTATAGTCGTTCCGCATTCAATGAAGTTGCTGCATTAGCCGGTAAGGCCTCCGATCCAAGGACGAACGAAGTGTTAACATAATACGTGTTTTTAATGCGAATGCATTAACTGGTCTTCTGGAGCGAGCTGACGTCATTAGTGTGAAGTGCGAAAACGGCAGATAGTTTAATTCGGTTCCATTGGCTGGCGCGCGCCGACGGGGCTTCCACTGGCCGCTGCGCTCGTCAGATTCCACGACCGCTCAGCCCATGGCGCTGCGTGTCCATCAGCGCAGAGCGTCCAAGGTCACCAGGTCACACGCGTCACACCAAGGTCACACCAAGGTCACACGCGCCGACCGGCGATTAAAAGTACGCAGCAGACAACAAAGGGAGCGGACGAGCGGCTTGCATGCTTTCGCATTCGCAACTCATAAGGAATGCTTAGGTTTACCTCGATCTTTAATATTAAAAAATTCGAACACCAACCAAGCCCTTCTGTAGGGACCCAACGTTTCAAGGCCAATTCGGCCTCTTCTTCAGGGGCGACTACGGCTATGGCCGTTGAGGAGCAGTGTCCTTTTCTTTTTCTTCTACGGCGTGTGTCTGGTCTTCTTCTTCTACGGCTCTGCCTTTTTCAATAATGTGACGAAGCCCATTCACATAGGCGGATGGTAAAGCCCCTAGAGATCTGTTGATGTTCTGTGGCGTTGTTTGAATGTGCCATGATTCTAGGAACAGTCTTTTTCGAGGATTTGTCTCAACGTCAACGATGCATGCGCCTGAAGAAGAGGCCGAATTGGCCTTGAAACGTTGGGTCCCTACAGAAGGGCTTGGTTGGTGTTCGAATTTTTTAATATTAATTACTCCCCAACCAGACAGATCTCTGTCAAATGTTTTCCTTTAAACCTCGGTCTTTTCTTTGTTTTTTTTAACTATATCAGTGACTTCCTACCAGCCACACCTTTTCATTGACTCAATTGAGCCGAATATCACGTGAGGGGTGGATGCACGCGCACGAAACAAGACTCTGCGTTGGATTTTCATAAGGGCCAAACTCTCGAATCTGGTTAAGAAGGGCGTGGCGTACTATACGTTCACGTTTCGTGATTGGCCCTTGAGCCTTCTTAACGGCAAGTGCCGCATTTCATCTGCTCCGGAGAGATCACAAGGGGCTCGAGACACGCCGCGCGTTTCTGAAGTTGTCAGTGACTCTAGCCGAGCCATCAAAAACACCTTTTTTGTGTGTGCGTGTGTGTGTTGGTGACTCCTTGCCACCTATATGATTTGGGAGTCTAGGAAATAGTGGATTAATAACCAGTTCAATTCAAAGATCGTTCTAATCCTTAATAAATGGAGATGCTGAAGTTTCGGGAGAAACCATGATCTTAATCAAAAGTTGTGTCATTTTCTGAAGGTTTAAATTGGAAAGTGGGGCCCGTTCTTGCTGCCTGGCGCCATTCAGCTCCATGTATTCGAGGGCCCCATCAAGTCGGCCGCCGATTTCCCGCTGAAAATTTTAGCAAATCACTTTTAGCTTTCGAATAAAATAACGATTACTCCCGAAACTTTGGCATCTGCTTCGCACCGCTCGCTGCATTTGGACGTAGAATGGGCGTTCGGCAATGCGTAAATTATTTCGCGGTAAAACAAACAAACAAAAAAACTTTTAAATATTTTTGCGACATTCTGTACTCCTTACTATATTACTATTACCTTGTATTCGTCGATAACACGAACAAGCTTGTCAAATGGCAGCGAGGGGCTGCAAACTACGCAGGTTTTTCCGATGAGGGCTGCTACGAGAGTGTAAAGGAAGCCCGCCATGTGTGCAATGGGATGCGAAGCCAATATCACGTCTGCTCCGTCGTCACTGATGGAAGTTCTGCGCAAGGAGATTTTAGTTCAGTGTCAAAATGGGGGTTCAGTGGACTTACTGCACAATACAATTAGTCTCGTGTCCGCTTCTCTGCGGGCACGCGGGCAGGTAAGTCACTGGTACCTATGGCCAACTTTCTGGGACATTTCAAGGGAAAAAAATTATCAAATATCGAAATTCTAGTTGATTTCCGTTCTACGATAATCAGGCAATTACAGTCCTCGGGACCATTACGACCCTTTGTCAAGAAAATCAGAAATTGGCAATTTTTTTAATGTATAGTTTATAAAATTCAATGAAAAAAAAAAACCACCACCACCACCAACAGAGCTGTGGAATAAAAACCATATGCGACCAAAAGTTTAAATGCTGCTTATTGATATTTTATGACTGTCATCTAGAATATTCATGGGAAACGTTGCGATGTTTGTTGTTCATTTGAAATTCTCAGTTTAGTACATGCGCCGAGGCGTCGATGTCCAGGAAAGTTGGGGATGTAGGGTGAAGTTTTAGCAAATGATAAGGGAGGGGTCACGATCAGTATGAAAGCAGATACCTCGATTTCCTTTCAAACCTTTTTTGTTTGTTTTCCCTTGGCCTCGTCATTTGCCAAAAATTTCTGTTTGACGCACGAGAAACGCTCAGAGTACGGGCCCAAGCAATGGCCGACTCGGATAGTTGGCACAGCAGCCACTAGATGGCATGCACTTTTGAAAAGTGGCTATTCAAGCGTGTATGCCCGTGTCCCAAAGAAATAAAATTGAGTAATACCGGGTGTTTTAATTTTCCTCAAATAACGAAAAAAAAAAAAAAAAAAGAACTCTGCGAAAGCGTTACGAATGCGATCTGCGGAAATGAGTTTTACGGCCATGGGGACATTATGTTCAAGAGAGAATGCAACTGATAAATGACTGATTCATGAAAATTCGCTAGTTGCTTTTTAGAGCGCAGCTCTTAGGCCCCCGTTTACGGGTTGGGCGGCGTCGCCGTCGCCGTCGGCGTAACCGCGAGTTGCATTATAAAACGTTTCCCATAATGACGTCAAGCGTGACGTCATTATGTAATGACGTCATGTGTGATGTCACGCGGGTAAAATGTTTTTGCTAAATTTAGCGGGAAAATTTTACCGCTAAACATAGCGGGGAAATTTTCCCGCTAAATATAGCGGAAAAGTGTTATCCTCTTGACGTCACACGCGACGTCACGTGTGACGTCATCATGGGAAACGTCCTATAATGACGGAATAAATTCAGCGGAAACCTTTCCCGCCAAGTTTATCAGGAAAATTGTGCCCTCGTGACGTCACACGTGACGTCACGTGGGACGTCACCTGAATGAATGTGACGTCACGTGAAATTTAGCGGAAAAACGTTTGCGTTAAATTTAGCGGAAAAAGCCTCCCGCTAAACTTAGCGGGGAAATTTTCGCTAAATGTCCCGCTAAATTCAGCGGGAAAATGTTGGTAAATTTCCCGCTAAATTTAGCAGGGAAATTTTTGCTAAATTTAGCGGGAAATTTAGTTTCCCCGCTACAGCAGGGAAAATCGAAAATTCAAAGTGCTCTAAAGCATTTCATGCCTTATCGAAATTTGAAGGTGAAGTATGCTGCCAATTGTTTTCTCTGCGTGCTCGGTTTGGCCTGCAATACAAACCCACAGAGAAGGAGCTTCGTGACGGCGCACTTTTGCCGCTTTTTGATTGGCTCCGTCGGCTGTGGTCGGGCCTGGCGGAAAGATGCCTCGCCTTGCCCCGATTTTCTTACGCTGTGAGCGAGTGGAACCGCAAGGTTTTTGCCAGTGTTTACGGTACCTGCACGTGTAAAAGTTGACCACGAAACTGTAGTGCGTGATTTCGACGGCTTTGGGGGGCCCGGCCCTATCCACCGCAAAGGCGAGGGCAACCACGGTAGCTTTAGGGTCTGGGACAGGAAGCTCCTCGAAGCTCTTCTCATCGGCCGATTCGAATTCAGACGCGTTAGTTCCGTCGGCCGTTGCACCCATTACGAAGACATCCTGCAATGAGAATAAACATTTAAAGAGGGCAATGATATTTTGTGTCTTAACTAACTTGTAACAAGCGCTAGACTGCGATACAAATCCTGGGTGTTGTACGTGCGTGGTACAATAATTATATCGAATACAGTCGATCGCTTCGTTTTTATTTTTATTTTGTACAGCGGAGCTGTTAAGGGCTACTTTCCCCAGGATCGTGTCTGTCAGCAAACAAATGATGGCGCAGAACTCTGGACAGCTAGCGCCATCTATGTGCGACGGCGGCAACCTTTCCAGCCTTTTCACTCTGGCTTGCCGATTTGCGGCCGGCCATTATTTCATTCCTGCCATAGTACAGCTTCGCTGGACTTCGTTCTTCTCCAGAGAGGAAAGGCTCGAAAATTATTTTTTTACCGAACTGTAGTTTGACTTTTGGCAGCGTACTATGACTTCATTCTGCTGCGTTTCAGAGTGGTCTTAACATTATGCAAAAGCGTGGAACTCACGATGCAGTATTTGTAGGAAGCTGAATTATGTTTCGTGCGATAAAGCTTCAAATGAAATTACAGTCAGTGCACAGGCGAGCCATTCGAAGTTTACCATGATTTTAACCTGAGACTGGGGCAAAAGGATGAAATAGATAATTTTTTTTTGCAGTGGAAAAAAAATTAACAGGGACAGACCATACAGCGTCACTAACTCAGCTAATAATTATATTCAACCAACCTCCTTATATACAGAACTACACCGCCACAAAACCACCGAACATTCTCCTTTTTAAGGTCGCGCAGAACTCTCACCCGCGAATAAATGTAAATAATAATTCTGCAAATTCTAAATTAGCTAAATACGTGGACGAATGCAATAATTGTAGTGCACAATGGCCAGCAACAGAAATAGTACGCCAAGATGACACGGTTAAAGATATATTTTTTGTTTTTGTTTTTGTGGTCTCTTTAGATACGAGTTCAGAAGCTTTCTGAACCAAACAGAGGTATCACTGTGTGTGTGTGTGTGCCTGCGTGCGTGCAGTAGTTCAAAACCATCGTGTAATTTTTGCGACCTCTAGCTGCCTAGAAGGTTTTTTTTGTCTAAATCAAAAGGTTGTTGTGCTTTGTAGGTGGCCTCACCTATGACGAATTCCACGGGTCATTTTGGAGCGCGCCTGGATCAGTGCACTAGATCTGAGGTGGAGTACGCGATCCGAATGAAGTCCCTTCGTCTCCGTATACCGAGTGGAACATGACCACTCCTCCGGGATCGGCGGATGCCTTCCCGTCATTCACCTCCCCTGGAATTTCCTTGCCGCGGTCCCGGACCTCAAAGCACAGGTTTTTGCAATCGCGGCGCTAACAACGCGTGTTCAAGGAACGGATGAAGATAATCATGACGCGAAAGATACGTAACGATAAGCGATGTGTATCAGCGTAGCCCACTTGCCTCGTCATCGAAATACTGGTGTTCAAGTAATTGTGGACTTTCGGCCTCTTCTGAGGAGGTCCGAAATGGGACTCGAATTCATGGGGGACAAACAAGCAATCCCCTTCGTCGCTGTTACTCGAGCCACTGCTGCTGGAGGAGCTGCTCGAGCAACTTGACGACAAACTGTCATCAAGCAACAGCAGCAGTAAAGCGGCGGCAGTTCGCGAGCGGCCGTTACGAATTCTTCCAAGGCGTGATGCTGGGCGAGAAAGAAGGTCACGTGCGCGCGCCGAGGGCTGGCCAGGCTGGCTTCTGGTCAAATCCGCCGAGATCGGCGGAGCGACTTTTGTCGGATCCACATCGAGATCTGGAGTTGGAGCTGATACAAATGCATCGAGGGGACTTGAGTCTTTTTGCACGTGCGACAACCCCTCTGGAGCTCTGCGTACGTGGTGCACGTGACGGCACGAGCCCTCGCACGCACGGCCGTCTGCATCTTGTGAACTGAAGCTATGCCGGCTTCACGCATGCGCCGAACGCTTAGTAAGAGCAGTCTATTAAGAGCTGATCATAGAACCAATTCTCGTATTGCATTGACGCGATTAACGCGCGAAAATGACGGTGCCCGACAAAATCGAGTTTCCCGACCGCCACTTGTTTTGTCGAAAATGACGCTGCTTTTTGAACCACCCGATAGCCCTGAATTTTGAAAAGAGTTTTATTCGATGAGAAAACGCACTGACGTACCTTTAGGTCCAGAAGTTTCTTCACGCGGATGGCTTTTGGCTCATTCTTTGGATCGGTCAAAATTCTAGAGGCGTCACCTGCGGCGATGTGATGTTGAAGGTCACCTGCGAAAGGAAGAAACAGTCCCTTAATTTAGCGGAATTTAAGGTAGTTACTGTCGCATATTTTACTTATAAACGTTGCAGGACGCGTTAAGTATTCTGTCTGTGCGTTTCACGCTATCATATTAAGGCTCACGGTTGATATGAGCGCTAACTCGCTGGCCTGCGATCTATGCGGAGCGCAAGTTAAAGGGAACCTACGGAGCTTCTTGAAAAAAATGAGTTAGAAGTGAATTCAAGTGTATTTTTACCTCATGAACCCGAATACCAAAACCATTTGCCGCGTAAGTATTGTTAAACGGGAGAAAAACGCGAAAGAGAGACGCTGTCCGTGACGTCATCGACGGATCTTTTGGCCTGCCAAGGCTAGGGAGGCGGGGCTTCAGCCCTATTTTCAAATTGCTCTTATGGCTCTCCGGCGCGTCGCATTGAAATATAATTTTGACATATGTTATTCTAAAGGCCAAATGAACGCAATCCAAGCGTTTTTTCTCAAATCTAGAAGTGCCCCATCTTCCCTTTAAGGCCCGTTCACACTCTTGCGACCGAGTAAGACCGAGAGAGACCAGACCGGTTTTTAAGCCTCTTGCGATCTCTTAGGTCCAGCTCCGCTGCAGCGCATCCGGTCCTAAGAATTCGCAAAAGGCTTAAAAACCGGTCTGGTGTCTCCCGGTCTTACTCGGTCGCAAGAGTGTGAACGGCGCTTTAGTCTGCTTCTTGCACA